AGGTGGATTCAGATAGAATGGTCTAATCCAATGAGTTGAATTATATGTAAAGGCTTTTGGGATAAGGCTTACTTATTGAGGAAATATCAAAAGATTCAATTATCCTCTCAAGTCTCAACCCGATTTATGGCCTTAGAATTGACTGAGATGATGGAGGTGAATTGGTGAGGTTTAGTCAAATCTCCATAATCAAATTCTTGTTTAGCTTTCTAAAAAGGTTACTGTAAGTAGAAATGCAAATAAATGTTTATTTGGGAAAAGAATAGAAAATGGTCAACTAACAATGATTTTAAATTCTTAATTATCATCATATAACCACACTTAAACCCCACCAAATTCTTAGTCCAAGTGGGTCACTTTCATTAGAGGTAAGGAGTTGTTTGGTTTCCCAAAATATTGTTGTTGTATTCATGTTTTTGTCCTTTAGATTTTTGACTTAAGGTCTAAACAAATAGGTGAGAGAGAAGGAGCCGTTTTTTAGAAGCATATTTCTAGGTTGTCCAGGTTGAAGGGTATTTTGAGTTTGGTTCGCTTTCATTAGAAAGATTTAGGGTTAATGGCTTAATGTAGGTTTTATACAGTCAGGTCGGAAGTCGATCCGGATCCAAAATTGGGGATGTTGACAGGGGCAAGGGCACAGCTAGGGTTTGGGATGTTTCCTTCCTCTTGTGGATGTGACCTGCCTCCAAGTCTCCACCTTGGGCTGTAAAGTAGAATGAGTTATGATGATGTTGATGATAAGTTTGCTTGAGCAATTTGTATATATATAAAAAGGTGTGATAAGGGCTTATTAATATCCATTTGATTAGCAATTGAAACAGGTGTCCTTGATCCAGTGTGTTGTTTGGTTCCACAATGCAATTCTATTTCATATCTCAGAAGTTGAAGCTGATTTGATTAGGGTTTATGTTAATCAGTTGTGGGTATTTATTAATCTTGATTGAGATTAGATGGGTATCTGAGTATCTTTAATTTGAGCCTGTAAAAGATCAAACTGAGTTTTTTTTCTTAAAACTGGTTACTTGTTAAGGGTTTATGTTAATCAGCAAATGGTCCCCTAGGGCTAGCCAAGCCCCAGTTCTGGTTAGAAAAGGCTTGTCTGACCTTGATGGGAGCATAAAGTGGCACCACCCATGTCGGCCAACTACTTAAAAGTTAGGGCTTGGATCAATTTTTTTTTTCTCTTCTCTTAAATTTTCTTTTTGAGGTCTGCAACTTTTATGCAGGTCCCCAACCCGTATTTTCTTAGCAATGACCCTTGTTGTTTAACCCACATGACATGTTCATTCAAGTATATGTAGCCCACATAAAATACATGTGACAGGTGTGACAGTGCTAGTACCACCCAATTAACAACCAATCAGACAGTGATAGGCTCCCCACATCCAAATAATGTCCTAAAATCCGAATCGGTTAGGCGATTTAGTCCAATTAAATTATTTATAAATTGATTATAATCATGGTTCAAAGTATCGATATTTTTTATATAAAAAAAAAAATTGTTTATAAAAAGTTTTTTTCATCGAAACTCTTTTTATATTTTGATTGATGTAAAAATCCAATTATATTATATGATACACACTGATACGTTGTGATACTTTAAACCTGAATCACAACAACAGCTGATTGGAACTAACAAAGCCAAAGCCAGGTTAAAAACCCTATAATTGGATTTTGAAAGCTGAACCGAATGAATCAAGGATACATTGCATCTTTCTATTATCTGAATCTCTTTTAATTTTCTGTGTGCTGATGAAATCCAATTGGTTTGACCTGGTCAGCCCACCTTATGATTGAACCAAATTTCTGCACTGACTCGATCAACCTCCAGATGGGATTGGATGGCCATAATAGTCTGGTTGTCAAGTTTTGGCTGCCTTCGCCCTGAAACTTACAAATTTGAATCTTTTATATCTCTCAAAGGACAACTGGTGGAAGAAGTGTTTGGCAGTTGTGACTAAGTTAACTCTTTAATGCAAAGACTTTGGTAGGTTTACTTAATTTCCCATTGAATGTTCCTTACTTGAATCTATTAAACACAGTAAAGAAATAATTTCTAAGCCAAGCTTGTTATTGCTTTGAACTCCCTATCTCTCTAGTGTTTCACCCAATTGAGTGACTAATTCACTTCTGTTTCAATAACAATATCCTCAGTGTCTATAACACTAAATTATGCTTCCAGTGGGCTTACTAAACATAGAACTGCAGATATATATTGTCTGATATCAAAGAATTTCTAACACAGAAGAATGTGATATGTCGAAAATGACTATGAACAAAAAAAAAGAAAAAGAAAGAAAGAAAGAAAAGAAAAAGTTTTACTCTTAATTACGTTGAGATGTGTAGGGAGTATTTAGGAACTTGAATTATGTACAAAAAAAATGAATATATTGGGGTCCATTTGATTTGTGGGAATAGGGGTCTGGAACTGGAATTGGAATAATTCAATTTGATTCCAACTATTTGATTGGATGTGGAGTCTAAATCCTATTCCTATTTCTGGTAGAATGATATTCCCGCATATGAGAGAATGATCATTCCCTCCCCTTCCCCCTCCCCTGGGCATGAGTATATCCATTCTAACCAATTCTGATTCCATATCAAACCAAACAAATGAAGGAAATAGATTATTCCGATTTCAATTTCGATTCCTATTCTAATTCTGACTCTAAATCAAACGGACCCTTATAATTTATATTAAACTATGAGAATCAATTGCTTTTACTGTAAATTTTAGTGATTTTGCACTTCTTTCTCTCCATCCTACTTCAGTACTGATCCAAAAAGAGAAAACCCCAATCAGGTTTAGGTGGGTTGGCATCATATCATGACTGACTAATGCCTACAGGTAGAGAGATCGATTATTAGGTAAGGAATGACCAGAATCTTTTACAGAAGGACTGCCCATAGTCATTTGATCTTGTGGGCTCTCTCAGGCAGGAGTCTTTCAATAGAAAATTATTGGGATTTCAATCAACTCAAGTTCTGCTGCTACACTTTGACTAATTACCTTAGAAAGAAAAAGATAAAATTAAGCTAAGAGTTATACTTCTTTTGCAGACAGTTTTCATATTAATATGTTCTTGGAAGGTTCTTAGCAATGTATCTAAATCGATTAATTAATTGGTGACATATATAAATCACTCAATCACTTTAATTTAAATTATGCTGCTTCCCACCGACGCCATTAATTGAGAAGTACTGGGCTGTAAGCCTGTAACATTGAACAGAGACTTCAAGGGCATTTTGGTCAAAATATGGTAAAAAAATTACTTGCTTCAATTAATTCTTCTTAAATAAATCTATTGCAGGCAAAAGATGTCCAATGGGATTGATTGGCTATAGTGGGTCCTGGCTGTCTGTGTATGACACGTGGCAAGTTATATCCCCATATTAGCTTGCATGTCTTTCTGTCAGAGGTTGTGTTCAAATAATATAATAACAGAATAAAAGCAAAAACAAATATGGAATAACCAGAATACCCATACCCGGTTCAGTTAGCTGTGGATTCTGATTGGTTGCTGTGCAAGATACTATGCGTGGCCCAGTGAAGAGAGAGGAATTAAGGGGTTGAATTTGATTTAATTAATGGGGGATTATTGATTAATTAATACAATATTAATAAATAAAAAGAGGTGAAAAAACATTATAAAAAAAGGGTAAAGAAAGAGGGAAAAGAGAGGAGAGGGAGGGGACGCCCTGAAGCGGCGCACATGGGAGAGGGTTTGACGCTAGACGACATGCCAACAAAGTCACATGGACTTGATGGGCCCCATCATCTCTCCCGTCCCGATGAATCTCAGCACATGCCTCCAATCGGTTGACTTGTCCGACCCCTCCAACACCTGGGACCCCCTCCTTCCTTGGGCTCAAGAAACAAATGCACACTTAATATATGCTGCCCACGTCAACAATGCTCCCCTTGCCGATTTTTGCCCTCTTTGCATCGCCAAAATTGCTTTTATTTGCTTTTTTTTTAAAAAAAAAAAAACTAAAGGTTGTATTTTGGAGTGTTTTTCTAAAGGTTTAATTTTATTTTTTGTATTTTTTACTTTAAAGTTAGAAAAGGCAAAAAAAATGTCGATAAAAAAATTGTTTGATGAAAAAGTTTTATGCGAGTTTTTATAAATTACTCCCTCTTATTAATTTTTGTAAATTTATACAGACAATAGAATTTAGAGAGAATGATGATTAAGCCTAAGGTCAGAATTCTTAAGCCCAAAGTACAGTTGGGGTAGGTACTAGTTTGAAATTGATGCTAATTTATGAATACGTATTGATATATAAAATGATATTTTAAATTTTTACAAGTCTCCAGTGGAATTCAAAAATCTATAATGAGCCTGTGTATAATTTATAAAAATACAAAAAAGAAAAATGATAACTTATAAAAAGTTGTAGGGGGGGAAAACCATACATTCGATTAAGCATTTTACAAATTATTTTCAACGAAAAAGTTGTTCATGAGTCGAGCATTTTTGGAAATTGTATAAATCAAAATGCACTCACATGGCTTCCATCTCATAATTAACTAACTTGAAAGTGGAAGCTTCCAACTTGATTAAACTCATCAGCTCAGGACAATATCACCACTAATTCTATTAAGTTTAAACTAGTTTTTTAATCGGAAAGAAAAAGCAAAATTATTAACTATAATTTATCTGTTAATAAGAAGAAAGGAAGAATTAATCGGCGATGAATTGAAAAAGGGTTGGTTCAAATGTGGGCGATAAAGAGAGAGAATAAACCTAATTATCCAATCCAACCCAACCCAACCCACAAAAGGAGGGAGGGGAGAAGAGACTGAAGGTACCGAAGACAACTGGGCTGTCCACTCGCTTCACCACAATCATTCGCGTACTGACGTTAACATGTTGTCACCTTCCCACGGCCACTCTCTCCAAGATCCAGCTAATCATGTTTGTCCACGTGTTTGAATCTCCTCCGCCGATACCCGATAGGGACAATGCGCACTCATACTCGTCCATATATTTATACACACTCAGCCAAATGCACCCTCTTCTGAAATTTTATTAACCTCTCTCTCAGAACCCACACCACCGAGTTAACGATAGAAAAAACCGAAAGAAGGCTACGGGACAACCAACGAAAGAGGCCAAAAGTGAGACCTCACTGCCAGGATTTTCATGGAAGTTTGCCGGAAAATGGCGAGCAGGCTCGGAGGCGGGCCTGACGAGTACAGTCTGAATTTCGAAGAGACGGAGCTCCGCCTTGGACTGCCGGGTGGCGGAGGAGGTGGCGATGGCGATACGACTCCCTCTGCAACCAAGATTAATGGTGCCAAGAGAGGGTTCGCTGAGACTGTTGATTTGAAGCTCAACCTTCCCACCAAGGAGTCGGTCTTAGACCCAGCTGAGAAGAAGAATTCACCCAAGGAGAAGAACCTCCTTCCTTGCTCCAATGACCCAGCTAAGCCCCCAGCCAAGTTAGCTCTCTCTCTCTCTCTCCTTTGTATTTGGCTTTTTCTTTTAGGAAAAATTTTCTTTTTTATTTTTCTTTACATTATTGCATGTCCCTGTGGTGGTGAAAGGTTAAAACCCAAACATCTTTTTCTTTATATATTTTTTTGCATTTTTTCTAAATACAAAAAACTAAAAAAAAATTACACTTTTTCACTTTCTTTTTGAAATGGAAAGCTAGTGGGGAAGATTCAAAGAGGACCCAGATCCCAATTAAAACTGTAAAATTAACAATAAGTGTATATATCATATTATTATTATTATTATTATTATTATTATTGTTATTCATCCAAACGATAATGATCCCAACGTTGCATCCAAACTATCAAAATTTTGATTTTTGATATCAAGCAGAGGAGAAGAAAACTAGATCAAACAGACAGAAAAGAAATGATTAAAATATAATAAAATTACGAATCAAAGATAGAAACTTTTCCTTTTGATGCATCCATGACAATGAAGAAATAATTAGAACAGTAGTCACATTAGTATTCTAAGCCTGGAATTTACATTCTTCTTTTACATATAAAATCTCTTTCTACTGCTATATGTCTCTTTATATTTCATTAGTTTCAGTTTCTTGAGCTTTCCTTTGATTGGATATTTCATTAGCAAGCTGTACCAGAATTGGAGCTTGCTAGTTGCTTCATGGTTTCTGTCATCGTAAACCCATAGTAAAACCGTATTACTCTAACGTGCACATGGGGGGGATTTCAGGGCGCAGGTGGTCGGTTGGCCACCAGTGCGATCGTTCCGTAAGAACATCCTGTCCGTGCACAAGAGCAGCACGGAGGAGGGTGAGAAGGTTAGCAGCAGCGCAGCTTTTGTGAAGGTTAGCATGGATGGGGCTCCCTACCTTCGTAAGGTGGACTTGAAGATGTACAAGAGCTACCAGGAGCTCTCTGACGCTCTAGGAAAGATGTTCTCCTCCTTCACTATTGGTACGTAATTATCAACCAAGGAGTCAGGATAGAGATCTCTTTATAACAATTTTTGCTTTCTTGCTTTCTTTTTCCTTGCTTACGTCGTCTGTGTTTTCTGTGTTGTTGGCTGAAGGAAACTGCGGGCCACAGGGAATGAAGGATTTCATGAACGAGAGCAAGTTGATGGATCTGTTGAACGGTTCAGAGTACGTGCCAACGTATGAAGACAAGGATGGCGATTGGATGCTGGTTGGCGATGTCCCATGGGAGTAAGTTCTTCGCTCAATTAATAATGCAAAGCTAAGCTTTTACATGAAGCATTGGTCGGGAGCTTGCTGCATGCAGCGAGCGGTCCGTGGCCATGGCAGATGGCACGGCAGCTGGTCGACGAATTGTGGGTGTGGCTAACTCTTGTGTGTTTGGTTTTGATCAGGATGTTTGTGGATTCGTGCAAGCGCTTACGAATAATGAAGGGATCCGAGGCAATTGGGCTGGGTAAGTGCCTGCCTTAGTACACAATTATATTGTGCTTAACTGCTTTTTATTTTGTATTGCTAATGGCTGTATAATGTGCCCCTTCAAGCTTCAAGCTAAGCTGTGAGGTTCCTCCCAGGGGAACAACCCTTGCCACCTATAACTGTAGCTTGTCAGTGGTTTCCTAGAGGAAAAATTTACTATTGACAGACTTGTTGCAGAGCTGTTGATGACATCCTTCCTTCCACCCTAAAGCCCTTGTTCTATGGAGCTGGCTTTAGTTTTACTTTTAAGCTTTTGTTAGGAAATTTGATTTCCATGTTAAAATATATATATATATATATATATATATATATATATATATATACATAGCTTATAGAAGAGATGAGAGGTGCTGTATTTCTCTTATGGTTAATGTGTGTCTTAATTAATTACTTGAAAATTTCAGCACCAAGAGCTGTGGAGAAATGCAAGAACAGAAGCTGAAGACCTGACCAGCGCCACAGCCTGCTTATTTGATCTCTCAGATTCTGACAAGGGAAATCTGCAAGGAAAATGGGGGGAGATGGGTGGAGCAGGATGGCTTGGTTTTTCTGTACTATGTGGTTTGATTCTATGAACATATAGAAAGATGGGATATTTGTTATGGACAAGAAGCAATAACGTTTGAGAGACTTGGGCTATGTCTAGCTTGGTTATTATTAATGGTGTGCTTAATAATCAAACCATATATTAATTGTTATTGCTGCTGAAGTTGCTGTGTGTTTTCTTAATGGCCTCAATTATATTTCAGCTGTATTTTTCTGTTGAGATTATTTTTGACATGCTTTGTTTCTGTTTTTTTTTTTATTTCCATTTTTAAAGAAAGGAAGGAGTTAATAACATCAATGAACCAAGTGAAGTAGGGAGCAAGGCCATGTGCATGTTGATGGGGCATTTATTCATCCCAGTAGTCTATATTATTTGTTTATTAGTTAGTTCAGTTATTGTAGAATAATCAATTACTTGCTTGACTAGTGACCATGGTCTATACTGAGTTGATGGTCTTTGATGGGTTGGAACTCTATGCTACGCTTACGAGTAAATTATTAAGGCTTAGCTTTCATGTTGTATTGATTAGTTGTCTCCAACATCAACTCAATTAATTAAACGCTTTAGGTAAATTGCAGATTGAGGCTAGTCTAATTTTAGCACCTTTAACTTTAAAACATGTCATTGCAATTTGCAATGTATCTAAATTCTCGAAAATTAATAATTTAGTCCAAAATTGTTAATTTATGTTAGATGGCATTTGAAAGTAAGGTTCAAAGTAGGGGTGATCATGGGCCGGGTTGGGCTTTCTACTTATGATAAGGGTTATAGTTTAGGCTCTGGCTCAGCCTAGTCTGGGGTTCCGAGCCTGAAACATAAGCCCAAGCCCAGGTCTATACAGGTCCAGGCCGGGCCAAACTTGTTTACCGGACAATGTCACTCATATATAAAATATTATATATCTATATATTAAATGACATAACATGCATATAAACTTATTTATACATTATATAATATAAATTATACATTTCATGTTATAATATTTATATATAAAATATATAATATAATGTAAAATAACATGTATACATTATACACCAAATGTGTAAATCTAAATATATGCGGGCTGGGTTGGGCTTGAAGTATTAAGCCCAAGCCTGGCCCTAAAATTTGCGGGCCCGGGCCCGGGTTGGGCCTGAACACAAAACCCAGGCCCAAGCCCAAAATTTCCAAGCCGGGCTTGTGCGGTCCGGGCCAAGCCGAGCTGAAATGATCACCCCTAGTTCAAAGTATCAACACGTATTGGCTTGTATCGGTCGATACGTATCGTTCCGGGACCTCTCCGATACACCCATACAGTGGGTGTATTGGGGGTCTAACCGGTTCAAGGGGTGGAGGAGCTCTAAACCGACCCCTCTGAATCGGTTTTAAAAAAATAAATTAATTAATTAAAGATATCGATTCACCCAATACGCCTCTACTAATATATCGGGCATATCAATATTTTGAACTTTGTTTAAAAAGACACAAATACATTTTGAATTTAAAACAGTCAAAATAGTCATACATGTTTAAATTCCTTTTCGCTGCGATTAGGCACCATTGTTCACTTTATACCTTAGAAAAATTACATAAAAAAATATTTCTAGAGAGGAGTGATTTAGACCAACGTCGTTATAATCCTTTTTTAAGTTATTCAATCCATAACAAAGGAAGGTTTTAGACTGCCATTGTTGTCCAAGAAGATGGATAATTCTTCATTCGACCGAGAAAAACAATTAAGGTAAAATGGTGTCATAAATATTAAAAGAGTAATTTTGACATTTTTAAAGAATTTAAGTTACACGTATCTATCATGTAAGTGATATAGATAACTGACAAACCCGTATCTATCTATCATTCATGTATGTGATATAGATAACTGACAAACCCGTTAATGCTAATGGTGGGTACTAAATTAAGAGTTTTCAAGAGTTTAGGTATTATAATGATATATTCTAAAGTTTGGGTAATAAAGTAAAACGAGCCTCGAAGTATATAGTACTAGTATGCAACTTACCCAATATTTTATTTCTTTGATAAAAAAATTAAATATTTTATTTGGGTTCTGTGGAATTCAACCTGGCAGGTCATGATAATTGACATTTTCTCATTATGAATAATTAATTCACTCGACTCCATGAAGATTGTCATCAAATTCAGCAAATGGGTCTCGGATCTGACGTTGAATTTTATGTATTTCCTTTAATGGGGATTACAGCAAGTTGTCTAGTTAGAAGGGAACCAGGAAAACTGGAACGATCAAAATGACGTTTGCACAAGGGTAAAGTGATGAACGAATCAAGAAAATTCCAAAATTATTTTGACAAGGAAATTAATAAGAAGTTTAGAATTTCTCTCCTATTGTTTTATGACAGATATTTTTAATGATTAATTTCCTTGCGAAAAACTCTAAGCTGAAATGGAAAATATATTTTAGCCAAGGAGCCAACCCAAACAATTGATTTATAAATTTAATAAAAATCGGGGCCCACAATTGATGAATTAATTTTGGACGGTACAACTATAAAAACACTATAAATCAGATGGATATCACATATGCTTAACTATTTCTAACAACCATAAAGATAGAGGGATTTGCTTTTCTAATATTTAGCTAAGTAGCACCACTTTCTCCCACTTCTTCCTAAATTGTCTCTAATTCCTATTTATCTCATAAATTATCTCTAATTCCTATTTATCTCTTAAATTATCTCTAATATTTTTACAAAATTCATCATGAAACTATGTAGTGACAATACAAATTATAATCTTACGAATTATTCAATTTAAATATTATTCAAATAATAAAAAATTAACATTAAAAAATAAAACATTATTTAAATATTTCAATAACTAAAAATCTTAAATAAAAAACATTAAAAACTGCTAAATAATATAAAAAAATATTTAAATATTACATAATAACATTAAAATAAATAAAATTCAAATAATGAAAAATTTAAAACATTTTACATATTATTTAAATATTTCAATAACAAAATATTTAACATGACAAAATTTTAAATAGTTAAAATAACGAAATTATGTAATAAATTAAAAAATATTAAAAATAGAAAAATAATTATAATAGAATTCATAATATTCATATTAATAATAATTTAATATTTTACAAAATTAATAACAAATTATGTAATAATTGTACAATTATAATTTTATGGATTATTAAATTCAATAAATAATTAATATTTTAGGAATTTAAAAAACAATATGATTTCAATAACTAAATAATATTGTAAATAACTAATTTCACTTATATCAATTAATAATTATAGAAAGTATCTATCAACAAAATTATATTTGTTAGTAACAATTTTACAATAATAGTGTATATTTATTATATATTTATATATACTATATTTAATAGTTATTTTATTTTCAGTAATTATTTTTTTATAAATATGCTTTCAATAATTATTTATAAATGTATTTTTATTTTTTTTATTTAATATAAAATTATCAATAATTATTGGATATTAAACAATAACTATTATTTAACTCTTGAAATTTAATTTATCATATTTATTGTATTTTTGTTATAAATTTATTTTCAATAATTATATATTTTCTATAATTTGTAGATTAATACTTATTAGAGATTAATCTATTGTTTGAGATTACACTATTTATTAACAAATTTAGTATATTTTCAGTATTTATTATATTTTTGTAATTATTGTATTTTTATTATATAGCTATTATATTTTCATTATAAACTTATTTTCAATGATTGTGTATGTTTGCTATAAATTTTTAATAATTATTGGAGACTAAACTATTGTTATTTATTAGAGTTTAGACTATAAATTTAGTTGAAATTAGGAGTGTTCAATGATTAATTTAGTTCAGTTGCTAGCTATTTTGCCAACCAAATCAATCTAATCAAGTCCGCAGTTTGTCACTCGAAACTGATTGACCATTAGCGAAAACCCACCAACTCGGGTTGTATCGATTTGGGTCTATTGTTTAACTTTCGCTTAACAAAGCATGGGTCCCCGTCACCATGCCTCTCCTTGCTTCATTATCCCCACCTTGCATTCTCTTTGACTTTATCTCCTCTTCCCTTCACACCACTTCCATTAAGCCATGTCACCCAACTACCTAAAAATATTCCTATAATCTCTCTCCTAAGGTATCTCATTTAAACCAATAGGAAAGTATCATGTTGTCCCACTCCCTAATCAATTTCTAAAATGCATCCATCAATCTATGTCCACTGTCCCTCATTTAAAATATTCATATTAATATTTAATCGCACCCTTATTCAATGAGTATAAATAGTGTTATTACCAAAAGTTAATAAATACGGTTAGCAAATTACAAAAAATTAATAAATATTGTTATTAATTAAGTCATTAACAAAATTTTATAGAAATTGAAAACTCTTTAACTAATTTCTATAAAATTGAGAATTATATTTAACAATTATCAAAAAGTATAAAATTTTAGTTATTGTTATTATTATAATTAATAACCAAATACAAATGGGGGAACAAAATATTATAATGTTAGAAAATGAAATTATTAATTAATTTATATTGAAAAATAAAAGATAAATTAGTGTAATTTTGTTAGTAAGCTACCAAATAAATATATATATATATATATTTAATAACAATTTAAAAAATTCAATAAATCCCCATAGTTACACAAATGTAATAAAATTTTCAAAAATTTTCATAAAACTACATTTTTTGTAAAATACCATTTTTGAAATTAAAAGATATGAAGTATTTGAAAGTTTATTTAAAATGTATTAAATAATTATTGATAATTTTTAGAATATTTTGGAAATTTTAGGAAAATATATTACATTTGATAGATTTTGGAAAATCATTGAAAAATTATGTAATTTTCATTGCAAATTATTGAAAATTATTAAAGATAAATGACTATGGGAAATGGAAAACTATAATTTGAACAAATAATTACACAAATTGCTAAGATAAATTAGTATAATATTGGAAAAAGGAAATTATTTGTTAGTTTATATTAGAAATTGTAAGATAAATTAGTATATTTCTGTAAGTAAAACCATTTAAAAATAAAATAAATTATTTAATAAAAATTTGAATAAATTTTCAAAATTACACAAGTACAATAAAATTTCCAAAATTTTCATAAAATTACATTTCTGAATATTAAAGACAATTTAGTGTACTTTTAGAAATTTACCATGTGGTTGACACTCAACATATCCTTTTGATCATTTCTATCATCAAATTGA